ACCTCTAGAAAATAAACTAAGTATTCTACAATGGAAGGGTTAACTAATGACAAGCAACAATACAAGAGGGTCACTCCACAAGGTGCCCTAGGCTCAAGACATACTAGAAATCCAAAACCTACCGAACAACACAATATCTTTCAAAAACTCTAACATGATTGATACGAGGGAATGACATAGGAATGAAATGATCATTCCGTTACTCATTCTTTATCCCATGATTGGTATATTTTTTTAAGAGGAATGGCCATTCCAATAGGAATTGCAAAACTCATTTCTGTGGGATTAGTCATTCCATAATTAATGCAAGATTTTCTCATTTTCATATTTGTATAAGTCAATTTTTCAAAAAATTAAATTAGCAGATAATAATAATAAATAAATATATAATATTTATTATAAATCATGATTAAATTATATTAAATAAAATTATTTTATAAAATAAATTTCAAGCAAAAAATTTAAAACTTATTTTTATTTATTGTTCATATTTTAATTAGATATATTAAATATTTGTATAAAAATAAAACTAATATATACATTTATAATAACTTAAAAAGATATTATTTTATTTTTATACATCATATATATTATATATGTATTTGTAAACTGAATTATAATATAAAAAATTATATTCGACCACGTATGCTTATAGGGATTTAATAATGATATATTTGTATTAGTTAATATGTATATGAATTTCCTCCGGCTCACAAATAAAAAAATAACATTAATATAAATATTAATTTTTTTTCTATAAAATAGAGATAAATTATAATATAGAATGATAACGTCATTCCATTCTGGTCTTATTCCTTCTAGTGTTTTTCAACCGGGACCAACCCGACAGGTCGACCCGGGACCTGGTCGACCTGGAGCCGGAACCGTTCCGGGTGGGCTATTCGGACCGGGCACAAAGGACCCGGTCAAACCCGGGCTTGATCCGGTCAATCCGGGGCATTGACTCAGTTGGGCCTAGTTGACTCGGCCCCTATATATATATATATATTTACCAAATGCATCTCAATAATGCGTTAAAATAAAACTATGTATATATATATATATTTATATGGTAAATATTTTACCATGAAATACATATTATTAACACTTTAATGTACAAATTTAATATACAAAACATATAATTTTGTTACTTTTATGTATATTTATATGACAAAATACTCTATATATAATTTAGAAAAACTTAAAATTTATTATCTGATTCAGCAATTGACCCGGCGGTTGAACCGGCAACCCCTACACCTACACGCGTCGGTTCTCGGGCCGGGTTTAAAAACTTTGATTCCTTATGCATACCAAACACATCAATGAAAAAACTTATTTCATTCGTTTCCCATATTTATATCATTCCTATCAAATTTCATTCCATTATACCAATTTTGCCATAAAGGCAGTATTGCGCCATCTTACTTATCTTCCGAAAACTCTAAGTTTTCACAATTAATTTAATTTTTCAAAAATATTTAACTTCTAAATCCTTCTAAGGCACTACTGTGAAATCCTGTTTCTAAACTTGTGGAACTACTTTGCTTTGGACTTTAGTTAAACCTCTCAATAAAGTATTTATAGGAACTCTATTCCCACTTCTCAAATTCAAACGTGCTCAACTTATAAAATCAAGTGTAAATATAATGTCTCAGCTTAATAAACAATTCCAATTCAAAGGTAAAATACCCAAACAACTGAGAAAGTAAACAAGTCTGAAGAAATCACAATTCATAAAACCATTGTCTAAGAACATAAAATAATAGTTATTCAATGGGTGACCACTTTACTATCCCGTGCCTTACCAACTCAATCATCTTGAAAGGAGGAAATAATGAGGGGTGAGCAAAACCCCCGCTCAATGGGGATAAACTAAACAATTAAACACTTAATAACACATATCATCATAATTGTACTCATATCTTAATGGATCCATTAACCGAAAGGGGACATGTAAATCGAGGCACTATTATTATTGGGACATGTAATTGGGATGCTAAAAATCGAGACAAAGTAGCTCTACAATGCAGTCGCGCGACTCTGGGTGCACTAGTATATATGGCCCGTCGGCCTGTCTATCTATCTTAAGGGACACAGAACTAATCAACATTGCGGCTGCGTGACTCTAATGTACCCAGTAGACAATTAGCTCGTCGGTCCATAAAAATATACCTGCCCGAAGGCCCTCTGCCATTTTCTTGCCCGAAGGCCCCAAAGTCCAAAAACAATGGTATTTTACTGTCAATCATTTGCTCGAAGACACAATTTATCGTCAATTCTTTGCCCGAAGGCCCTGCGACATGTATATACAATAATAAAGATAGCATGAAATTAAAATGAATAATTGTATAGAAAATCACACCTTGACTATGGATAATGAAATGATGAGTTAATGGTCGATGCTCGTCTCACGAACTCAACTCCTTGAAATCTACATGTTAAGAATATAATATTTTACTTAATAAATTTTTGACTTAATTGATGAATTATTTTACTTAATATAGTCTTAAAATAAATCTTTTAATTTAGTTAATTACTTTTTCCTTAGCTTGCTTAAGTAACTTAGTTAATAAATTTTCCCTTGAATACTAAGCTCGACTAAAGTTTTCGGATCAACTAACTCAAGGCTTGAAACCTGAGTTTTAGCTCGGTTAAGGCTCAGTTCAATACTAACATTTAGGCTCGATTTAAAATTAACCACGGCTCATTTTTAAACTGATTAAGGCTTGAAAACATGAAAAAGGGTCGTCGGGGATACTGGTGGCTCGCACCGGTGCGCTGCGGTTGCTGGTGCATTGCACAGGCGCTGCTGTGCACGCACGGACCACACCAAGGGCTGTTGTGTGCACGCACATGATGCTGGGAGTCCTGCATTTTGCGCACGGGTCGCTAGAGCACAATACTAGGACGGGTCGCGCACACGGGTCGCTTCTGGGACTGGTAGTGCACGGGAGCGAGAAGGGACGCTGGGACGCGGGCCCTGCGAGCGGGCACTTGGAGAGTTGGGGGTTGTGCGGGCATCTACGTGATGGGTCACCTGCACACGAGTCTCGGTGCACGGGTCTGCATGGTCGCACATGGGCATCGCTGGGAGCCTGCTGGTCGACTGGACTCGGTTGCAGGTTACATCAGTGATTTCGACGGCCAAACTCAGGGTTTCTCCATCAACTTTTTGGGAGTTTTAAAAGCTTATAAAAACATGATTCTAACATGAAAAAAGAGCTCGGGAAAATCCAACAAAACTCAAGGCAACACAAGGATTTTCTATTTTTCTTTAATTTTATTTAATCATTTAACTGACCAATTTTTTATTCATAATTACTGAAAATATACTCAACATCTCAGCATGAGTACACATGAAATCGAGGCTCAGAACAAACTTAACAATCCAAGGAATCTACCTATAATTTAATCTCCTTTTTTCATTAAATTTAAATAAATCTTAAAACATGATATAAATCTTCTAACCTTTATCCTCTAATAATTTTAAATTCAAATCTTGAGTTTTCTTCTAAAAATTACATATTATTCTTGGGACAAGAATTAAAATATTTATGATTGGATTTTTAAATTTCTTTGGGATTAAAGAGAAGAGAATTCGGTTTGGTTTTAAGGCTCGGTTTCGCTGGATGTTTGTCCTATTTTTGTTACGTTTTTCCTTCTTATTTTCATTTCTTCTTCCCCCGTTTTAGGTCTTTACGTTAGCTTTTATTCGTTTTGTAGTTTTTTTTTTGTGCGTCTTGTTCTCGTTTGGTCTTCTTGCGTTTTGTTTTTGGTATTTTTTCGGTATTTCTCGTCTTTAGTGTGCAGGATGGAAGGCTCGGGAGGATTTATTTCTCACGATAATGGGCCAGTGCCGCGCCGCGCCTATGCCACGAGGTGGACAGAGCTTCCAGCGTTCGCCCGCTCCGCGCCGCGATGATGCACCGCGCCGTGCCAGAAGACCTCTCCGCGCCGCGCCTGCCTCCCGCGTCGTAGTGACCCATCCTGCCGCGCCGCGAGACAACTTCCAGCACGCCGCGCGGCCCTCTTCCTCACACCATGCCCGACTAGTATAAATAAGATTTTTGGGACTCTCGATCAGGGCTGATTCGACGAACACAAAAAACCCTTCCCATCTTATTTTCTTTCGCTCTTTTCATTTTTTCTTCATCGTTTTCAACGTAGAATAAGGATTTAAGCTCGGATTTTATTATTGCTTCCGGATTTCAAGCTTGTTTATCGAATTCAACTTTGGGATTTATCAATCGTAAGCTTTTCTTTTAACTTAATCGTTAATTATGAATTCTTGGGTTGAGATTGCTTGTGTTGATTATTCGATTATGAGTAGCTAAATCCCATTGCTAGGATAGGGGATTGATGTTTTGAATTCGTTTGCATTTATCATATGCGTGATTGTTCAATTTGTACGAGTTGATCTTTTTCTAGGGTTTTTCAATTGTCGGGCTCAAATATTGAGAATTGTTGAAGGGTGACACTTCAATCCCCAATTGTTTGTAATTGAGTTCGATATATTCTTTCTTGATGTTGGTTATTCTAAACGGACTAGTTGATTAAACACCTTCTAGTCAACTTTAATCGACTCTTAGAACCGAAAGGGGAGGA